GTGGCAATGACTGTGTTCTTCGCTCTGAAACGGTGAATTGATCCATCTTCCATGCAAAGAGCTATTACTCCCTTACATTCTCCATTTTCCATAAGCAAATCCAAAGCAAAGTACTCCACAAAATAGCTGGTGTCATACCTTAGAGACTGGAAATTAAATCAGGTTTGAAGGCAGCACAGGGGCAGATTAAAAAGAAAAAACATTCTCTATGAATGCCTTTTACTTATGATCATGTTTCATCCCTATTTAAGTGGTTCTCATTAAAACAGACTTTATACCACAAACGAATACATTTTAATTGCATGTATCTTCTTAGGCCTCCAAAGTGACTTTTACAGCATTTAAAGACAGTAGAAGTGTTACTCAGTAGTTATCTCACTGAAAACAACACAGGGCAATGGTCTCTGACATCAGAGGAAAAAATAATCAAAATAGAACAGCAGGAAAGATGTCATCACTAAAATATGCCTACAGTATTGCATCTAACAGTGTGACAGGGCTTGTGAAGAACAATTTGTACCCCACTGCTATCTCACTGCCCATTGAGTAGCACCTACTAATCAATTGTGATTGTGTAGTTGCAGTTAAATTTAGATTGCTTTAGGAAGATAGCTGTGAGAGCAAGACAGGCTCTTACCCGACCATAGAGTGTGTGTAACAGCGAGTGCCCAGTCCTGTCCGCCACACAGCAGCACCTGTGAGCCTGTCCTCCCTTCCCAAACTGCAGACTCTGCCCCCCGAAAGCACGTTGGTAAATCCTCCCATCATCTGTTCTACTGAACGGCATCCCAAAGTTTTCCAGCTAATCCAAAGGAAGCCAGAGAAACACATTCAGTTAAATCCTCACAACACACTACAATACCACGTTCACTTGCTTTGGTATGGTAAGCACATTACTGTGTGCTATTGAAAAAAAACACCACCAATGCAAAATCAACAGACAATATTTATTATAATAAAAGACTATGTCAATTAGAAGTTAACTTAAATTAGAATCTTTCTACACATATACTAGAGTTTCCAAGGATTTTTAATGATGTAGCTGAATTATAAATAG